GCAGGACCTGCAGGTGCTTGTATGTCTGAAAATCAGAGAATCCAATGTCTGTGACATTTTTTGAAAACAAAGGGATGTAATTCTATATAGTTTACAAGGCAGTAGTATTTAAGTATACACTGTTCATGTCTGTTTCCAAACTATCTGGAAATAATGATGAACTCTTTATGTGCTTCCTCAACAGCTCCATATGAATCAAAAGGAGGCAAAATGCTGCTTATTGCTATCCTTGGCTCCGCAGGGATGACCTGTGTAACAATTCTCCTGGCTTTTCTCATCATGCTGCAGCTAAAGCGAGCCAACTTCCAGCGCCGAATGGCTCAGGCTTTCCAAAATGTGGTGGTGGGTTTCCAGATTTCCTATGTCAGCATGGTCTAATTTTGGCTCCATCTGCTTTTTTTCCAATTCCTTTTTGTTGGCCTTCCCAAACACTGTCTTCTCTTAATGTGTGCAACTAGTACTGTTGTTGTAAAGCATCTCTGCTAGTGACCCCGGAGCTAAAGCAAATGCAGCTATAGGTTATGAGGTAGACATGCTGACTTGAAAAAAGATGCACACCTTCTCCCTTTTCTGCCTTTTTGCACCTGTGTATAACAAGTACTGAGCCAGACGAATGCAGGAGCCTGTTCTTCCCCTATGAAGTTGTGCCTAATTTTGAAAACTAAAATATTTTTTCATGTTTGAGCATCAGCAACTGCTCCATCATGGCTTTTCAACCTGAGACAGCCCACCAGGGGTCAGTCAACAGCAACATCATAGTTTTGGCTGTGAGGAAATTGCCAAAGGCCGTAACATCATGTACAGATATCTTTCTACACATATACACATATATATTTGTATCCTGCTGTATTCTCCTTATCACTCTGCTTTCCAGTGCTGTTCCCTCACTTCAGAGGGGAACCTTTGAAGCAGAATGAAGCTGGGCCGAAGAGCTCCTTCTTATGGATCTACATAGGTTATTTCATAAACAGGGGGCCAGAGGCTCATCCAAAAAGATCATCAGTCCCCAGGCCACACAGAATAGCTCCTGCTCCTTGTCCTGAAAGTAGTATTTCATGGGAATGAGTAACTGAAGGAGAGATGTCTCCTCAAGTATGGAGGAAGATGATTTTCTCCCCCCCTTTTGTTTTCTTCCTTCTGCTT